TTGTGTAGTTGTATATTGAAAAAATAATGTATGGTTGTCACAAAATCCCACGGCACACCCTGACTTGCCTCACGGCACACCGTTTGGTAACGGTGGTAACTCAGATGCTTACATGGACTTGTATGTTTTTTCCTTCATATCTAACAGAAATAAGAGAGAAAGAGATGGGAACGTGAGTAAAGAGGGATAGGAAGGAGGAGAGATATTTGCGAGTTGCATACTGACTCTGAGTTTTCTCGATTAATAGCTTATATAGACAATACCATGCTTAAATAGACTCCTAAGTTATTATTTCATATGTGACAATATGTAAGAAAAGAGGGGAAGAGTCAAATTATATTGAGAAATTGAGCAATTGATTTCATATTGGAACATTCATTTCTCAAACCTATGTTTTATGGAAGAGGAAATGTACTTCTGATAAACTAATACTTGATCAAACGGTAAATGGTGAATTAATATAACATTTAGAATCATTGAGAAAGGGTTATTCCACAGGGACTAGCTCACATTTAACTTAAAATAACATTTCTCTGCTTTGGACTGATGAGTATATGATTCTTGCATGTTAAATGACTAACACAAACCTTACATTTATAATGTGCATGTCTCAGGAAGGCTCCCAAATCATTCTGAGGGGGCCTATCCTATTTTTGTAATTGAATGATAATGTGCTAATCCATTACCTTGAGTTGTCTGCACTCAGGAAAACACCCCTATCAAGTGTTAACCCAATAACTAGGACAGCTCTGAAGGCCAAGGGTCAGAGAGAGAGGATCACACTCTGCGGCTGCAGAGAGCAACTTATCCACGGGCAAGGAGGTCGTTCGAGATGAGAGGATTCTAATCTTCAACTTTCTGATGAGATGGGATGCTTCTTCATTTTTCGCTCGCAGGACGAGCGATGGCTTCAGAGGCTTCATACAAGGTTTCCATGTTTCTTGGAGGAGCAGATGTTTTCATAACCTCTCCCATCACGGGGGGGGGCATCTGGATGTGCCACTTGGAATAGGCAGGTGCACTGTTCTCAAGCAGATAGCAGAAGGAATACAGGCAGATGAGCCTCTGTTTCACTGGGAGATCATAAAGCGCTCACTGAATTGAGCCACAAAAGCAGAGCAATTGGGGGGATTGAGATATGGCGCTCTGATGAAGAAGAGTTTTGAGCCAATCAGCACCTCAGTGCTAATCTACAGATAATTGAGATATGGCGCTCTGATGAAGAAGAGTTTTGAGCCAATCAGCACCTCAGTGCTAATCTACAGATAATTGAGTTATGGCGCTCTGATGAAGAAGAGTTTTGAGCCAATCAGCACCTCAGTGCTAATCTACAGTATCAGGATGCCTTTACACACCAGACATTCTGTGTCATAAAGAGAGGAGGAAAACATGTCTTCTAGCTCTCGTACAAAGATAACATTTGAATTGAATGACCAGATGATTACAGATTATTAATTAATTGATATTTTCAGATTTATAAGGTATTGAACAATAAGATATTTCTAATATTATAACAGACAATGTTACTATCCTTAATCATTACCAGGTAAGAACAGATGTTTTGATATTGATTACAGTTGATGCTCTGAATAAAGAACAGATGTTTTGATATTGATTACAGTTGATGCTCTGAATAAAGAACAGATGTTTTGATTTTTTCCTTTTCAGGTCGTTATACAATAAAATGTTTGATTCTTCAGATTGTTAAACATTTTGAGAATTGTTCAGTTTTCCCTTCAGATTTTGAGATGACATAATGATTGATAGTTGAAGTCTGATTTATACCTCAATTGGATTTATTATAAATCCTAAATTCTAATTGTGTTTTAATAAGTAATTGCCTTGAAGTAAATCTTTGAGATGTAAGCTGATTTAGAATTTGTGTTTGATGAAGGAGATTAACTGAGGGATAAATGATAAAATATCTTATTTTTGAAACATATATTTTGCTATAATATTGTTGTATTTCATGTGTTTATTATTGTGCTTTTTGACAAATGATGCCAAGCACTGAAGAGAGATGATTTTATTATGATTGATTGTATCTCGTCATGGTGATTGAAGTGTTTTCAATCTTGTTCTACTTTTGATGTAATTAATGTGAGTGAGCCCACACAACTCTGAAGACGCTTATTGACTTAAGTATTGACTGAAATATTCTTTAGACTAATGTTAATTGATTATCATAAATTGATAAAAGGGTGGATCTGTAAAGGAATATTTTGGTCTTGTTAAAGTATATAGAGTTTAGTGACTTGTCCTCGGGAATCTGTTTAATATGGTTGAAGTGTATTCCTGCCTGTAATGTGATCCATAGCTTCTCCGGAAGACACAGGTCAAGAGGTCATCTGATGTCTTGTGGGGAAGAAGCTTGGCTCATGTGGGTTTACAATGCAACGAGTCTTTGTCTCGACATCTGGCATGCATTAAAGGAAAACCCGCGTGTTTTAGGGCCCTCCTCTTCTCTTTGTATAGATGGGTGCTTGGCGTTTTTGGGCAGAGTTGGCTGGTTGCAGGGAACTGTAATATGCTGTGAACTCTCCGGCCGCTCAGGCTCTGAATAAATATCAGTGTATTGACAGGCGAATCCAGTTTCACTCATTTCATGATTGGCTCAACATTGCTGCAAAGAAGTTTTATCTTCACAGATGTCATATAATGCATATGTTTGTATTTTGGGCCTAATGTGTATAGGTCCTGTTAGGCATGTGTGTAACTGTTAATCAAAAACAAACACTGAGAGAATTAAAAAGTGTGCCTCCTTCTATAGAGTAAGACGGGTGAGCTGGAGGGCCCTGAGGTGGATGGATTTGTCAAAGATATGATGGAGCTGGTGAAGGTGCCCTTACATTCCCTTATATACAGAGCTGATACACAATGTTATTGATCAGATATCAGTCAGTGTCATTCATCAGGAGTCTTCTGACCTCTCTGTAACTCTTCCACCCCCCGACCCTCTCCTCCAGCCCAGCATCAGTGGCACAGACCTGGACAAGTTCAGGAAAGCTCTGATGGGTCACTGCGACATCAACGGAGACGGAAAGATCCAGAAGAACGAGCTGGCTCTCTGCCTCGGCCTCAAACTCAGCTTTTTCTTTCTTTCCATCTTCCTTCTCTCCATCTTCCTTCTCTCTATGTACAGTTCTAAATTATTTCCTTTTTCAATTTAAATGTGTATATTTTACTATACTCTTTTACTCCAGTCTAAATCATTACTTCTACCTCCCTATTTTAGCAGTATCGCCTCAATTAGTGGCTCTCAGTTGGTGTTTTAAGAATGATGTATCTACATGTGTTATGCTCATATATATAATATGTTATATATTGCTATAATATTTATATAAAAATATCTAGCAATTGAAATAATGGTAAATGTTGGGACATAGAAATAGTTTATTTTCTTTGTAATGTAAAAAATAATGAAACATTGTTTGAATTACATTTTTTGTGAAACCAGTATCATGAATGATGGCTAATAAAATAGTTTGTGTCTTTGTCAGCTGTGTCTCTCTTTACTGAAACCATAAGTGTGCTCCTAAAAGTGCTTTCAGTCACTGCAGGTGACTTTTATAGGGCCCTATAATCAATGGCTGCTTGGAGGAAAGAACATTTACAGTAATTGAGTCTAATTATAAGCAGTGATATAAAATATGTGGTTTTCAATAAGCCAAAACACTTCCAAAATCATTTTCAAATCACAAGAACATTTGTTTTTAAGTAATCATACAGTGGTAAAAGGTCCCATAAGATCTCAACTTCAGTGGAAGAGAACAATATCTTATTTGCAGTGGAACATATATATAAATTAAATCTTAAACATATGTTAATATGTATACATATATATATATGTGTTTGATTTGAATACAGCTTGTCATTTCATAGTGTTTTAAGATCAAAAGCTTACACTTTTTAGGTCTTAGTTTCTGGGTCTTACTAAAACCTCTGTGGAATTGAAGGAGGAAAATTAAATCAAAACCTCAATAAACAAAAACAAAACTACGATCAAACTATTATCGCCTGTCAGGGGAATTGTGCCTAGCGGCCAGGTAAAGGTTATCATTTGGTTAAACTGACTTTTGAATCAGATCTGCTGACAGAATGAAATGTTGAAATGTGTCAAATTAGCTAAAGTGTGGACACCTGCCCAGGTTGCCAGAGGGCGGAGTTCCCAAGCTGATTCCAATGACTTCATCAGTGCGATGATTGGTCAGCTCATGAAACGACACTTTAAAAGGACCACTGTCTTTGCAGCAGTCATGAATCTGAAATAATAGATTATTTTTGTATTTGCTGCACACCGCTTACAGACTGTTTGGTTTCAGTTTTACAACAAAAATGGGTTTTGGATTGTGTGTGAGGTAAGATATTCTTATTTTGGCAGATTTCTTATATTTATTCTACTTAACTGTTTTTGGTTGGCTCATGTTTAATTCCTCTTTTCTTAGAGTTCTTGTGATCTCACTCTTGATTTTTGGGCAGCAAGCAAAGGGTAAGGATTTATGGTTCACAAGCTGCAATTGAAATGTATAATTTTCCTCTAAGGCTGTCTTTTAAAAAATGTGTTCTCCTTTTAGCGCTCAGCTACAGAAGTGGAGGCTCCAGTGGCATTACACCTCACTTTGATTTTTCAAGAAGCCTTAAACCCGCTTCCACTTCCAGTGATGATAGTTCAGCACAGCCTGAGAGGGTTTTGGGTAGTTATTCACCCTTTCATGCTGATGGGGCTTTATCTGAGACTCTGAAGCCACCTGCTGCACCAAGTGCAGGAGGTTATAGTGGCTCTCATGGAAGGCAAGTAGGTGGTTACAGTCCTGAGGGAAGTGTTTCTAGTTACGGGCCAAGCCAACCAATAATTCGTAAGCCAAACCAACTACCTCAAGCTAACCCTAGTGCAAATGGTGTCCTTCCAAGCAAAGCTGCCCCGTGGGCTTTCCCTTTGCCCCATAATCCAAACTCTTTTCAGTCTGGTATTGCTTCAAGTTCTGCAATTGTGATGCACTCTGGTCCCTACTCCAAGCCCCAGAAGCCCAAAAAACCGTCCAAAGCCCCAGCAGGCCAGCTACAACCCTAAGCCCCACCAGCCCAAACCTCAGCAGGCCGCCAACCCTTCAAATCCCCTGCAGTCTTGGTACCAGCCCAAACCCCAGCAGACCAAGCCCAACCAGCCCTCCTACCCTTCAAATCCTCAGCAGGCCAAGCCCTACCAGCCTTCATACCCTTCAAATCCTCAGCAGGCCAAGCCCTACCAGCCTTCATACCCTTCAAATCCTCAGCAGGCCAAGCCCTACCAGCCAGCCTACCCTTCGAGTCCCCAGCGGGCTACCAACCCTTCAAGTCCCCTGCTGTCTAGGTACCAGCCAAAACCCCAGCAGCCTTCTTACCATTCAAATCCTCAACAGGCCAAGCCTCAGCAGACCGAACCCCTGCAAGGGGTGCTCCAAAGTAAAGCTGGCATGTGGTACTTTCCTTCCGAAGGAAGTGTTTCTTCTGACTCTAATGTGCAGGCCAAGCCCTACCAGCCAGCAAACCCTTTGAATCCCCAGCGGGCTACCAACCCTTCAAGTCCCCTGCAGTCTCGGTACCAACCCAAACCCCAGCATCCTGCCTACCCTTCAAATCCTCAGCAGGCCAAGCCCTACCGGCCTTCATACCCTTCGAATCCTCAGCAGGCCAAGCCCTACCAGCCTGCCGACCCTTCAAATCCCCTGCAGTCTAGGTACCGGCCAAAACCCCAGCAGCCTTCCTACCCTTCAAATCCTCAGCAGGCCAAGCCCTACCGGCCTTCCTACCCTTCGAATCCCCAGCAGGCCAAGCCCTACCAGCCCGCATACCCTTCAAACCCTCAGCAGGCCAAACCCCTGCAATGGGTGCTCCAAAGTAAAGCTGGCATGTGGAACTTTCCTTCCCAAGGAAGTGTTGCTTCTGGCTCTAATGTGCAGCCCACTGACTCAAACTCGCACTTGAATCTTGACCCAAGTAGTTTGAGAGAAATTCCAATGCCATTCCCGTACCAGCCCAGGTGGCCGCAGCAACTGGTGCCAGTGTAGAACAGACATCATTGACCTTCCTAACTGTAAGTTGGTTTAACTTAAAGATTGCTACAATGAAGTAAGGGAAATGCTTTGCAAATGTTCTAAATTGTATTTTCTGTTCTCAGGTTCCTGAACTTGCCTGGAAGAAGTCTGAACTGGCATCAACTTTGAATTTAATAAAATACTTGGAACACACTCTCTTTGGATGTTATTTGAAACTTGACTTGTGTGCTGTGCTGTAGACAGTGCTGCACCCTTACTTCCTGAACATGTCCACAACCACTTGCTTGTTTCCTTTGAACTTCAGGGGTTTGTTTTCCTGGCTAGGTACAATAACATTGTGAACAGCAGCTCACAGTAATGTGTATGCAAATATATGTATTGACCAGCAAGTTTAAAAGACTTGACTAAGAATGTTCTTCACTTAACATTTGAAAGTTTGATGACTTAAAGGCTATGAGAACTTTCAAGGATGAGTGTCCAATATTATTTCAAAGTGTCAGACTCCTAATGAGGTTTATTGGACTACACATGACAAACTTGTATCACTTAAAACAACATCTTCAGAAACATTGCAGTTTATGCTTTATTCCATGCTGCTGAATTGATGTCATATAATGCATATGTTTGTATTTCGGGCCTAATGTGTATAGGTCCTGTTAGGCATGTGTGTAACTGTTAATCAAAAACAAACACTGAGAGAATTAAAAAGTATGCCTCCTTCTATAGAGTAAGACGGGTGAGCTGGAGGGCCCTGAGGTGGATGGATTTGTCAAAGATATGATGGAGCTGGTGAAGGTGCCCTTACATTCCCTTATATACAGAGCTGATACACAATGTTATTGATCAGATATCAGTCAGTGTCATTCATCAGGAGTCTTCTGACCTCTCTGTAAGAGAATATTTTCATCTGATCTGTTTATAGAGTTTCTTATTGTTTTATAGAATCTGTGATACTGCAAACATCTGCTTGTAGTCAGTCAGAGACTCCTCTATAGGTTGAGGTCACAGGTCAAACGCTTCTCCTATGTCCGTGGGGGGTTGACCTGGCAGCATCTCTTTGAGACAAGCAGACCATTGTCTCGCATCGGCTATTGATTATACGCGGGCTTTCTGGGAGCCCGCCTCTCCTCGTGTTGGTTAGATGTTTTGTGTCTTTTGGTTCAGAGATTACCTTGGTGGAGCACAAGGACAGTGTGAAACTAGGATGATTTCCCGGCCGTATGTAATTGTCTGTCTCTCAATAAATATCAGTGTATTGACAGGCGAATCCAGTTTCCCTCATTTGATGATGCGCTCAACATTGCTGCAAAGAAGTTTTTACTTCACATTTTGGCGTCACGAACGGTTACCAACAAATCGTCGAGCTGGTGAGTGTAATTTCAAATCTATATTTTGACATTGCCTCGCCAGACTCTGTGATTGACGGTATAAAGTTACCTGTGGAACAGATAGATGCAATATTTTTGGTTTCCTCTGTGTGTGTGCACGGCAAATATTCGGAGAGACCTTAAAGAGGGCATCAGTAATGTGGAACTTCGGTTTAAAAGCAATGTAAAGATTTGTACTGAAACGAATCGCCGAATTCTGGAGATTTCAACGGTTTAACTAGTTAAATCAACTCGCCTCGAAATCACCCTGTTGCTGCTGCAGGAAGAGGGTGTGGGTAATTCCCCTCCCCCCCCCCTGTGGGGAGCAGCAGAGGATAAACAAAGCACAGTGTCGTATCTTCTTAAATCGCACCATTATGAGTTTTGGAACTAAACAGAACTCTTATTAACGGGAAACGTGATACGAAATATTACGTCACGCTGTGTTTCATAAACTGAGGGGTTGTTAAATTTGGCTGTTGTTCAAATAAAGGGTACTGAATTCATTAAAAGTCTCTGCTCTCCGGATCGGGGAGGGCAGAGCACCACTAAATTAGCATAGTGGTTGTTGATTGAGAATAATGTGGTTATTACTCTTCAGCAGATTCCGTTCTTAGAATTAATTAAATTAATTAATATCTCTGCTCTCGGTCGGTTGAGCAGTTTTACCACTACATTTGCATAGTGGTTTTGATTGAGAATAAGGTAGTTTATTGCTCATCAACTGAATTAATGTTTAACAACACAGACTTGTATTTTCTGTTAATCACACCATAAGCTCAAGAACTAAATTGAGCTATTAAATGGGAAGGGTGGTGGCAGAATATTACATTCACACTGTGTTTAATAAACTTACGGATTATTGAATTGGATTTTGTTTAAAAAAAAAAAAATTTAAAAAAAAAAAAAAAAAAAAAAACAATAAGTAAAAATAAGTACTGATATTTCCCTACCCCCGCTGAAGTTTCCCTAATTCGGATTAAAATTAAACTGGATGAGTTTAGCTGTCACCTGATATTTGTTGCGGGTTCATGTTTGTTTGTATAATTGTTTCGTGTTTGTTTGTATATGCCGTCTTGTGCATGTTTTTTAACAACTAATAATTAATCAGTCCACAGCCAAGGTAAAATGAATCTAAATTTCCGCAAAAGGAAAATAAATAGCAAAAAAAGCCTCTGTTTTACACCCGGGAACCTCAGAGGCATAACTGCGGGTCATCTGTCTGCTCAAATAGGTCAATGTTGTATTATTTGTTTCATTTATTCTTAATCTATGTATTGTATGGTAATAATGAAAATAAAATAACCTAATGTATTGAACACATTCCGAAACAAAGCAGATAAGACAAGACTTAGACACAATGGTGATTGAACCTTTTTGCACGATTGATGCAAAATGAAAACTTTGTCATTATCTGTTTCCAACTGGCCACTGGAATCAGATAATGGATATGAGTTGAAGTTCAATTACAGTTTTAAATATAGTTCAACATCCTTTTCTATACTCTGCTTGGTGCTGCAGAAGAAGAAAATAAAATAAAACGCAAGACACGGGGTCAGAGACAGGCGTGACCTCTGGAAGGAGAAGATAATCTGAAGCAGACCACGGCGCGACCCATTGGGGGTTTTATGACCACAGCACAAAGAGGAACATCTAATTGCAGCAGTCAGTTTATAATTTTGCCAGTACTGTTGAGCATTTTCAAAATGTATTTTCATGCCTCTGTGCATGGCTTAGTCTTTCTATCAGTATAGCCACTGGTGTAAAGTAACTAAGTTCATAAACTTAACAAGTACTATACTTGGGCACAATTTTGAGATACTGGTACTTTATTTGAGTATCTAAAATGTTTTGCTGCTTTATTTTTCTACTCCACTACAGTTCAGTGGTAAATGGTGTACTTTTACTCCACTACATGTATTTAATACCTTTAGTTACTTTCAGATGTGGATGAATGATGTGAAATCTAATCAAGTGTTTAATCAGACTTTAGTTCCACCTGGAGTGAATCCACCAGCTACCGTATGCAGTATACAAAGTCATTCAAACTAGCTTCTCCTTTACCAGCTTTGAGAACACTTTCATGATCAATCATTATAAAACATATCATATATAGTATTCTGGAATAAACCAATCTGCACGACTACTTTTACTGTCGCTATTTTCACTATATTTTGATGACAATACTTTTATACTTTTACTTGAGTAACATTTTGAATGCAGTACTTTTACTGTAACTTAGTATTCCTACACTCTGGTACTTCTACTTGTACTCAAGAACAAGATCTGAGTACCTAAGCTAACGTTAGCCAGAAACCTTCCATTTTGACACAAAGAACAATGGGGTAATTTCAAAGTAATTCGAAGTAATTCACACAGCCTCTTCCCTATGGGAGAAGCAGCAGTTTCAGCTTCATTTAAATATGTCGCGTAGTTATAGATGGATTTATTGTTTCCTCTAAAAGAGAGAATGTGTATTTTATGTTAGTATTTCAAAAATCTCCTGGGGGAGAATCCCCCCAGACCCCCTGCGGGGGTTGGGTTTTCAGCATGTGAACTCTTTCACTTGTGAGGAAATGGCAGGATTGGCTCCAGGTCGCCTTTTTATTTACTACAAGACAAATGTTTTTTTTTTATTTTAATTTCATACAGTTCAATTTGGATTGAGACAGGGAAATATTCTAAACCTCACGCGTGGCGTTTCACTGACAAGGGGGCGATATAGCGTGTATGTAATTACATTTCAAATACTGATTTGAGCCCCACCACTGTATGGGTTAGCCCTACCATAGATTATCTAACACAAATACTCGGGAGCCGATAAGTCAATAAGTTGCTTTTCGCGACAGGCACACAATAAAACAGTGGAAACAAACATGTGTTTGACTTTCATTATTTAATGAAACTGTGTGCCCTTTATAGTCTGTGTCCAATATTGTGTATTTGTATATATATATTATATATATATATCCTAAATATATGCTAAGGTCCCGCTACGGACACGATAGCAGTCACTTCGTGCGCATGTGTGTAATTAAACCCATGATATCAAAATCTCACTCCAGCCAGGTACCCAAAGTTAGCAACCCTGTCCATACCCCAATAATATTTTATTGATGACAATTTTGCATCCCTGCCTGTTATCGTTTTCATCATGGAGCTAAAAAAAATGGTGTATTGATTACTGATCTGTGCAAGTCAAATTTGTTAACTGACTTTGGTTCTAATGTTAATGTTAATTTGATTTCAACCCATAAGTAATTATTTAAATTAACTCAACATTCCACATGATGGATTAGTGTTCCACATTTTTCCCACTAATTTGTTTATGATTAGGCCAATGGTAAAGAGAGACATTTATGACCCTGTGTCCTTTTTGTTAGCACGTGGTTCCATTTTGTCTAATGGCGTTGGACAGCTTCACTAAGAGTCACCCAGTTCTACCCTGCTACAGTCCGGCTGAGTGCAGTCACAGAGATGCTATGGCTGCTCTACATGACATTAATGGTTTGGTCCGAGAATGGACACCATTTCCTGCTCCCAGAGAGAGCTCCTCACACTGAATAATACAGCCATTGACACTGTCTCACGTGGGTCTGCTCCCCCCCACCGAGCCATGAACTGGAAGCTGGAATTCTGAACACTTGGAACTGTCACACCAGCACCAACCCTTGGGTCAGTTAGATGAGACTAACGGCTTCACTTAGGGCATATGGGTCAGAAATATGACTCTCGTTACCACGGAGTGGGTTGTTTGTTTTTTTAAGGCTATTCATACTGCTATGCAGAGTGAAGAGCCCCTACTATTTTAACAAATACGCCTGAT